AACAATACTTTGACTAGTTTTTGTGAATTATAGCTACGATAAAATATAGTTATATGGAATCTTGTTTGAATCATCTCAATTTATATTTTATTAATGTACACTTCTTATTATTTTACAATACCGATAATTAGAGATATTAATCGCTAAAATAGTGCGTTGGCAAGCGTGATAATAGAAAGGTCTCAACTTAAAAAAACGGAGGTATTATTTGGTAGAGATGTCTTGGTAGACCCCCTAGAAAGGTGTGACAAACTGCAAAGCCAAGTGGTTTATTTTGAGTAGTTTGCTTAGGAGACCTCTTAATGGTGATGAATGACATGTATATTGAATGGTGTTTGTGTAAAGTATACATGCTGAAAATTGTTTGTCTTAATTAAATATTATAACCTCCATAATGTAAAAAATTCAAAGGAAGAAGTTTTGAGGGCTCATCTTGAGAGTGAGGCCTGTGAGGGGCAGTGAAGTTTATTAGAAGGTAGCCCATGGGCATCACTTGTCGGTGGGCAATTAGTAGGATGGAACTAATCTATGGTATTATATTGATGTGAAAAAATAATCATACTGAGTCATGAGGATTTTTTGTAACTTTATTGTAATTTTTTTTTTTTGGAGAGGGGAGGGGAATAGGTTAAGCTGCACACTTGAGTCTGTATATCTATTAATTAATCTACAAATTGTTCATGGATTCTTACTTTCCATGTATGTGCTTGCTTAATGTTTTTTGTATGGAATGAATTGTGTACATGATGTGGTGGAAATTGCCAGATTTCTTCCGATTTGCTTGTAAGCAATGCTGTTCTTTTCTTAACGTTCCATACCTATTTTCTATGCTATGGGAAATCTTAGGCTAAGGTTATACGCCTAGATAGAAAACTAAGCTTTAGTTTTCTTATTTCGACTTTGATGGGATTATTTCTAAAGATTTTTCAAATATTGTCCTTAATTTGTATCTAAAAGTTTGACACGGAGTATGTTCTTTGAATTCTAAAATTTTAGTTATGTGTTCATGACCTTTCTTGTTGCAGGTTTTTTAAGAGTTGAGGGTTGCTGGAGAATTGGAGAACACTATTATCTATTGATAGGGATACTGGAATTTATCATGAGACAGAGTGCTTCTATAGAATGAATGTCAGCAACACCGTTGAGTACTGAAGTTAAGGATGGTGCCTGCAACTACTTCTCAGCACTCTACAGTCGAGATTTCTTGTTTACAAAGAGTGGATTTATGTCATAACAGAAAGGACGCTACTTCTAGTTTTGTACATTGTGCTAATGTGAAACCATGTCAGTCTGAATTAGCTTCTCTCTTAAAATATAGCCATGCATGTCAATTTTGGTTACAAAGTCCTAGATTTTGTTCTAGGCGAGATAACTTCCAGTTAAACTGCCGAGCTCAGCATGGTAATGTCTGCATAAATGATGTTGATGAGATTAGACAACAGAGACATACGCCTGGTGCACAGAAGAATGCTTCACAAATTAGTTTAAAGAAGCCTGTTTCATCATTAGAAGGACCCTTTGTTGAGAACAGTGAGCTTAAAAACAATCATATTCTTCAAAAATACTGCAGCTTTGGAAAGCTATTTGAAGCAACTAGGTTGGTAGAGGTCATGGCCCGTCAAAGTCAAATTCCTTACTTCCCTTCTTGTATTAATTTGATACGCGGTCTCATTAAACAAAACCAGGTTGAGAAAGCAGCAAAGGTCTTGCAAATTGTGGTAATGTCTGGTGGTGTTCCGGATGTTATCACATACAACATGTTGATTGGGGGATTGTGCAAGCGTGGGGAATTGAACTCTGCCATTGAGTACTTAGACGATATGAGCTTGAGTGGCTGCTTACCAGATGCAATCACGTATAACACAATCATCAGGAGTTTCTTTGATAGGGGCAAGTTTGATCAGGCTATTTCATTTTGGAAGGACCAACTTAGAAAGGGATGTCCTCCTTATACTATCACGTATACAATCTTGCTAGATTTGGTTATGCAACATTGTGGGTTAGTAAGAGCTCTTGGTGTGTTGAATGATTTTGCTGTTGAAGGCTGTTATCCTGATCTAGTTACCTACAATTCACTGATAAACTCCAGTAGTAAAAAAGGAAATTTCAAAGAAATGGCTTTGGTGATGCATAGTCTAGTTTCTCATGGTTTGGAGCCAAATTCTGTGACTTACAACACTATACTTCATGCTATATGTAGCCATGGTTATTGGGCTGAAGCGGATGACATTTTGTCAATCATGAATCAAACTTCTCATCGTCCAAGAGTTGTTACATATAATATCTTAATCAATGGTTTGTGTAAGCATGGGCTCCTGGATCGTGCCATAGATTTTCTTGATCAAATGGTTAGCAAAAACCTTTCCCCAGATATAATCACATACAATACCCTATTAGCAGCCATCTGCAAAGAAGGAATGTTGGATGAGGCTCTTTGCATTGTTAGGCTTTTAAGTGATAGAAATTGCTCTCCTGGCTTGATTACTTATAACATTGTCATGGATGGTTTGGCGAAGAAAGGTTCTATGGAGAAAGCAATGCAGGTGTACAATGAAATGATTGATAAGGGAATTGTTCCAGATGATATAACTCATCGTTGTTTAGTCTGGGGCTTTTGCGGGGCAGATAAACATGATGAGTGTATGGAGGTATTAAGGGAGATGAATAGAAGAAACCACAAGATTCAAAACAGGTTTTATAGGTTTATTATTCCGGAATTGTGCAGAAATAAGAAGCTGGATATTGCTATACAAGTTCTAGAAATCATGATCTCCAACCAGATCAAGCCAGATGAAACTGTTTACACCAATTTAATAAGAGGAGTAGCTGCTTATGGTGTGATTGAAGAAGCTCATGAACTGTCTTCTAAGCTAGTTGAATGGGGAATTCTAAGAGAAGGTGTTAAGCTGAATTGAAACGCAAATTTTGACTTCTTCAACATTCCGAGTATGACCCCTTCTGCATCATATTTTCTCTGCTTTAGCACAGTGTTATTTATTTATTTATTTTAACGTACTTTAATTCCTTCTTTTACCAAAAAAGATTATGAAACTGAATTTGGGCTTGATCAAGGCAAAAAGAAGCACATAAAGTTCATGCTGCCTATATTATCTAGAATTTTCTTTGCCCTGTGTAGGATTAGTTTTCATGGTTACTGCCTTTTGCAATTTGGGATTTCCATGTAAAAACTTGCTGCTTTTATGAAGGCGCATGATATTTAACTATGTCTTACTTTATGATGTATGTAAGCATGAGTGTCTTTTCTTTAATTGGTTGATTCTTAGCTATGCTATGAGCCCAGATGCTGGTAACATCCCAAAGGGAGCACTGTCTGACGTATTGATAAACTAGACTGTCATATGTTGTGGAAACAACTTCAAATTTATTTTTTGACAAAATGCACTTTCTTTCATGTCTCTTTAGAGCCACTTACTCCATGAAATAGAGCTTTATGCGAAAGACAGAGTGGAGAGAATGTTAAGAACTTTGACTTACAATGCTGTCTGCTTATGATTATCTGCTTTCAGCTTTCTGTTTTATCTGTTTCCCTTCTCCTTTCCTTAATCCTATGATGCATATGAGCATGGTTGTCTTTGCCTAATATTTTTTTTCTTGGCTATAATATGATGCCGGTAATGTGTGATATTATTTTTGGACTGGTATATGCTGTGAAATACATAGCTGTAGATACTTTTGGTTCATCACTGCATTTTCTGTCACTTTTTAGAGCCAGTCGCTCCTTGTGATTAAACTTCTATGTAATGGAGAGGAACTTTGACTGACAATGTGGTCTACTCATGGCTGGCTTTCACTTATCTGTTTATCTGAATGTTTGTCATTTCATAATGTTGGACCTTAGAAATGTATAATGGTTTTTCAAAACTATATCAATCAATTCATTTCAGCTTTGCCTAATTTATTGAATTTGGTGTCAGTTGAGCATCTGTTATCTTACATCTCCTGGTTTTGAGAACGAGTATAAAGCAATCTTGAATTTGTGCCATCAAAATGATTCCAGGCCATCTTCACGCATCTGATTTTTGTAAGTTGGGCTTGTCAATTTTATTTCTCACTCAACTTCCTTTCTGTTACAATATGCAAAACATTGATGTTTATCTGATAAATAATTGCTGCTAATGGGTCTATGGCTTATTTTACTGCAAAGTTTATTTCTTACTAGGTGCAAATCATATATTCTGCATATTCTGACATCATTCTGTAAATTATGTTTTAGAAGATGAGGCAAATAACTTGGAGGTTAAGTAGTTTTAAGTCGCTGATACAGTGCCACTATAATCTTTTTTCTGTCTGCCATGGAGATAGGAAAAAAAAAAAAAAAAAAAAAGAGAAAAAAACAAGTGCTACTTGCATTCTAATTATGAAATTAGGATTAGGAATATCTACATGACTACTACTGACAATGTGATCTTTGTTAGGGATTTCTGGTACTCATTTACTTTTTTGCCTTGACCTGGTCCTTTAGTAGGTGGAACTCTTGACAGGGTACGTCTCCTTCCTTGTCACTAACAAATCTTAAACATGGGGCTGATAACAAGCTGAGATGAACTCGAATTTGGGTCAGCTTTACTTAGGTAGAAAGAGTAGTATATAAATGCTGTCCAAGTTTGAATTTTCTTGCTTGGAAACTCTAAGTTCTGCTTGGCCATTATATGTGCCATTATATGGCCATTATACTTGGGTAGAAAGAGTAGTAATACTTTAAAGCTGTTAAATTACTTTTCCTATATATGTGCGCATACTTCAATATTGGACACACTATATTTAACAATTGAAAAATAATCAAATACAATTGTACTATTGTACATCTTGTATTGGAATTTAAATACTCGACCGTTTTTTTTTTTTTTTTTTTTAAATACTACCTTGACAATTAGCTTGAGCAAGAAATCATATAGAATTTGTATTGTCTATAATCTAGTGAGCAACTTAAGGCTACTTTAAAGTTGCTTCATTTCTATCTACATGATTAAGAAATCAAATACACATATACTTGTGACTTCAAATTTTTAAACATAATTTACAGGGCAGTACATGTGGTAAAAGTAGAAAGTGAAATATTTACACTTTTGCTGAAATATTTCTGGTAAATGACAGCGTAATGACAAGCTTCTAGTTGCCATCATTAAACATGTATGGAATTTTGGGCTTTCAAGAAGAGCTGTTTATATACATTGGCTTATATAGTTAGACATATTGACATAATATCACATATCACTTTTGTTGTTGGAATACTTTCATATTCCAGAGGCTGCAAGTTCTTTCTGTGTAGAAAGAACTGGAAAGGCCTTACTCAAGCGTTTGAAAGATTCAGCGGAAACTGCATCCATTTCCATTAGGGTGTTTGCCAATTCCATAGCCTCGTCACGCCACCCTGCGAATCCTACCCCTTCAATCAATAAAATATAAGTTGTTTCATTTGGCTGACAACCCTTTTCAACCATCTGTCCCAACAATTCAACTGCATCTGTCAGCCTACGTTCTTTGCAAAGGCCAAGTAGGACCATATTGTAGCTAATAACTGTTGGTTTTGTGCCAAAGTTCTCCATGTCCCTTAGTAATTTCATAGCCTCATCGACCATCCCATCCCTGCAAAGACAGGATAGAAGGGCATTGTAAGTAATCTCATCAGGATCAACCCCATTCTTAAACATATCTTCTACCACTTTCATAGCCCTTGTTCGATCCCCGACATTCCATAATGCACTTATCAGACAGTTGTAGGAGCTTGCGTCTGGATCACAACCCACCTCACCAAGCTTATCAAAAATCTCTAGAGCTAGATCAGCCTTCCCATTCTTGCACAGAGCTGCCAAAACAGTGTTATAATTGACAATATCAGGCAAGCAGCCATTAGAAATCATGAGATCTAAAACGCCAATCGCCAAATCCAATTTCCCCTCTTTACAAAATGTTGAAATAAGAGGATCATAGCTATAGTTATCAGGTTTTAGGCCTTTTTCCATCATAACCTTCAGCATTGTTAGAGCCTCCTCCACCTTGCTCGCACGACATAATGCACCAATCAGTATGCTATAAGTGACAACATTAGGCTCAGATCCTCGAGACAGCATCTCTCTCACCAATTGCTCCCCTTGTTCCCATTTCCCTCGGTCTAGTAACGCCCGTAACAGGATGTTGTATGAGATTACATCTGGATGAGAACCTTGGGAGGGTAAGTTCCGAATAAAAGCAAATGCTTGATCCACTGACCCTTCTTTGCACATCCCTCTAATCATGGTGTTGTAGACATACACGTCGGGCACGAGCCCTCTTGCTAGCATATCATCGAATACCTTCATTGCTTCATCAGTCCCACCTTCATTAAGAGTAGCTTCTATCAATATAGTGTAGGTAACAACAGTTGGTTGACAATCATCTTTCAATAACTTTTCCAAGACTCTCGAGGCCAAATCAAGCTTCCCCCTGCTACAAAGACTACCTATCATGATATTGTAAGTGACTATATCAGGTGAATATCCTTTAGCCTTCATTCTATTAAGCAGGTTATTAGCATCTTCAATCCTATTTACCTTGCAGAAACCACTGATCATAGCATTATATGCAAATAAATCCGGCTCGCCTTTCGATTCCAATATATTCATCACCTCTATTGCTTTATCAACCTCTTTGCTGTTGAAAAACCCTTTAATGAGCTTTGTACTGAGGACTAAATCAGGCTGATAACCCCTGCTCACCATGCTCTGAAGAAAATAGAAAGCCTCATTATAGTTTCCTGCTTTATATGACTTCTTGATTGATTTTAGCAACTGTGTCTCTTTGAGATCAAATGGTTGCGAAAATGTCGGTCGAGTTTCGACAGAATATGCTCGAATTTTTGGTATATTTCTGTAGTAAATCTCATTTGGAATGCTCTTTTTGCAGGTAATTGGACAATTATGATGATATGAATGCAACGAAGGTACTCTGAGCTCTGTAATATAGGGAAGGCAATTAGGGAATAGTTCAGTTGTGTATATTGTCATCTGGTTTTTTTTTTTTTTTTTTTTTTTTTTTTTTTTTGGGTTGTGCCTCAAAATTTTGTTTTAACATTCATAGTTTCTGCATATTTCAAAAGATAGAAAGAAAGATGATTCTTGCAAAAATCTGTTCTCTATCTTTCTTTCTTTTTTTTAATGTTTGTTTTTAATTTTTTTTTTAAAATTTTTTTTGGGTAATAATAATCAGAAATTTAGAATGAAGAGGTCCTATTGGTTGTGGGAATTTAGAAGGTTGGACAGTGAGATAAGGGTATGCACGTGTATGTCTAAAAGCCTAACACTTGGCTTAGTTGGTAGTTTGGGATTATGTGTCAGAGTATGTACCCCATGCACAATTTTGAGGATGGATGTCCACCAGGAATGCAAATATCTCTCTTTTGTGCTCCCTCTAGTCCTGTGTCTTTTTAGCGCCTAGCGTGTAAATTTGACTTAAGCACTATTTATATACATAATTTTGATCAATATTTATGTTCTATAGTCTATAGTTAAAATAGTCTCAATGTATGTATACTACTCCGTATTGTTGTTTCCAAATATCAACTTTATTTAATTTATACCTATTGCTAATTAAAAAAATATCAACTTGACTTGATACATTTTCTTTATAGAAAAATGTGTGAAAAAATTATCTAATAAAATCCTCTTTTGGTTAGTCTTATTAAAAAAAAAAAAAAAAAAAAAAAGTTGTTTAAACATATCATATGTGAATAATGTGATTCCGGTGGTTGGCCAAACTTGCCAACATTGAATCCCATGGAAGACTGGAAGTGACTTAATGAGACCTATTTTTTTTTTTTTTCCTTTTATCACGTTTTCTATTGCCTCCCTCCATCCTTCTTTTATTTTTATTTCTTTGGTGAAAGAGTGACGGAATTGATCCAATTTTAGGGGATTTTAGTATTGATTCTCATCACCCATCTTTATGCCTCTCTAAAAAAAATAATAAAAAAAATACGATAGATCTTGTTGGTATTGGTGTTACATTGTTACTCACTCTTCAAGGCTTAATCCTCTCAAGATAAAATCGACTTCATGCTATTAAATTTTCTAGGTATAATGAGATATTGTTATACACACTCGGGTGCGCGGATGCATGGTGAACCCAAAGACATTTTTTGTTCTGTCTTGATAATTGACTAATTGTTGCTCAAATAATTATTTTCACAGGATTGTTTTGTTCGACATTGAGTATAATGAATTTGTGAGATTTTTATCATACTAGGGTTTCTGAATTCCTATCCCTTATTTCTCCCTTGAGACTGGTAAACCCGGTCAAAATTGATCCTAGATATTCAAACAATAAAAACTGAATTGGGTATCTATTTTTTCCGGATAAAATATCTAGTTTTTCGAATATTTTGGGTATCCGAACATTGTAAAAGGTACTTCGTAATACTTTCTTCGTTTTTCTTAAGTGTTATCCTTTGAACAGCATATAGTTTTAGGCAAATTAATCAACTTGAATATAAAAAAAAAAAATTGTAAGGGGAATAGGTAGGATATTAAAAAATTATAAAAGAACACAGTATGGTTAATTTTTTTATTAAAAAGTAAGGAATGTGAGAGGGAAAGAAATGATTAAAAAAAAAGTAGTGGTGGGTTTGAGTAGGGACCATAAGAAGAGATAGGTATATTATTTAAATGAAGTAGCCAAAAAAAGAAAGCGTGTTATACTCGACCCACAAAAGGAAAGTGTAACACTTTAAAAAATGAAGGGAATAGTTTAAATTGTCCTTGAATATTTGTGGCAGACATGACAATGCACAAATTTGACTAAAATTGGTATGATGTATGATTAGTCATTCGTGTTTTATAGGTTAACATGAAACATGACATAACCTAGTAGTTAAGACTTAGATGTTAAACTTGAATTGAGATCAATACGGGGTTTAGACAGGAAGAAAAAAAAATTCATTAATAAAAAATAGCCAAATGACACTTACTAACAAATTTCTAAGAAATCTAAACTTCCAAAATAATAAGTATATAACCTATATAACACCTAAGAACTAATTTCATTACCTATTCAATCAACAATCATCTTAGGGTTCGTTTGGCATCGTTGTAGTTTTATGTTTTTTTTTTTTTTTTGAAATCATATGATGCATGCATGACATATAATGAATTAAAAAGTAGTCAAACATATTAATATCATAATAATTTTAAAAACTGACAACAGAAAAGTGGAAACACATTTTTCTTGTTTTTTTTTGGTTTTTTGTTTTTTTTTTTCAAAAAAAAATTTGAAAACTGAGAAAAAAAAAAAACGATGTCAAACAAGCCCTTAATAAAAAAATTCATATGACACACCACAATATGTGAGTTAGTACCCTAATTCAGCTTAAAATCCACTAATGCATTGTCATTGGGTGAGAATACTCATTTGGTCCAATCCTCTAGATACTTAAGGAGATTATGAAACCCTAGATCTTCAAATTTCGTTAGAAGAACAAACAATGAAATTAAACACAATAATAGAATAATTATTATATAAAAGATGGGATCTATTTATTGAAAGCAATTAAATTTTTTTGGGGTTACCACCATTAAGAATACCAGTGGAACGAAGTCCCTAAAAGGAATCACAACTAAGACTAGGAAGAAAAGAGATGATAAAAGGAGAGAAAAAGGAGAAGAATGAAGGAAAACCTTCAAAATATAATAGAAAAAACCTAGCTATGGAGGCTAGAAAAACCATAAAATGGATAAACCCTCGAGGGACCAGAAAAACCCGACCTCTCAAGGAAAAAAACTAGAGAGAACCCAATTTGTTTCATCGTTTCGAGATCACAACCGTTTTAAAATTTTGTACAATCCAAGTTTTTGAATATATAAAAATTTACATCAAACGAAAGATTCATTGAATGAGAACTTTTACCCAACACATAAACTTACTTAGTAATGCGTTTTAATAAAGAAAATACAAGTTTATCACTTTGATAAACAAGCCAAGTTTATCAAATGACATTTATGTAATGACCTTGATATTTGTGCTTATATAATAAAATACTCATTGTAGTGCTTTTGTATAATTGTCGAGAAACTAGCTTAACGTTGATATTTCATAGACTTGAAACTCACAAATATTCAACTATTCAAGAATAAGGTAATTAAGATTAACATTAATAGAGAATACTCACAAGCAATCAATAAACATCTATCCTTTGGCGTTGACCGACCATACCTTTTATTTCTCCATTTTTCTTAGGGTTTTCGTTTGATCCGCAATGGTGATGTTGAGGCTGGCAAAATCTCCATTGAAATAACTTGAAGAAGTAGATGAAAATGATGAAGGTTGGTGGGGAAGAAGATAAAGTCTCCATTGAAGTGCAGCGGCTTGGAAAAAAAAAAGAAATGAAGGTAATGAAGACACAAAAAAGCAGTTAGCTAACTGTGAGAAGTAAATTACACAAACACCCTTCACTATATATCATCCTTTACCCCTTCACAAATTCAATTGCTTATCAAGATGAGAAACCTAGCAGCTTAATTATATTATATATTTTAATTTCAAGTTCCTATCTAGCTTTATTTGAATAAAGTGGAGAAAACATAAACTTGATCGAGAGTTTGATTATGTTATTAGCTCTATGTCCATGATGCAGGTGATATATTTTAAAAAGTAGATGAAGCAAATAATAATATTTTTACATTAATTTTAAATGCTATAAATAATTAGGGGTAAATATAGGTTCAATGATATCAATTAGTATAAGAAAATGTTAGAAAAATAATAGAAATAGGAGGAACATAATTCTTACTTTGATTCTGTTTGTTTGCAACTACAAAATAATAAACGAGTTAGTAACTTCAAGAAAATAATAATAAAACAACAATTAAATTAAATAAAAAAATGGGAGGATACTATCCGACTTACTCCGAAAAAACGACACAAAAAACAAGACTACCCTAAAATACGGTCAAAAAGTAGTGCACGACTAAGGAAAAAAGTGTGTGAACACGATATGTGAGTGATTAAGTGAGGTTATGGACGCGTGTTTTGACCGTACAGCTAGAGATGACACCAAACTGGACACATCGCCCACATACGTACGCACAAAAACCGAAAAAATACTGACAGGACACTTTTCCTGGGCACCGTGTCACGGTGCTGACTGTCGTGACACGGTGCAGTCTACCGTCAGACGGTAGAAAGCCCCGTGTCATGGCATTGTTCACCGTGGAGCGGCAAAACATGCCGTAACACGGTGCGCAGTTCCAGGTCAGTTTTGTGATTTTTCCAGATTTTAATCGATTTTAGGTTCGTACTAATTACTATGTGAGAATAAAAACCCTCGGTCATGAGTTAAACAAAAGAGTAAACAGATGAAGGTTAGCACCAAACAACCACATAGCATTTAGGCACGATGATGTAAAAAAAGTTCGCAACCTAGAGTCAAGATCTATATTCAACTATTGGTCAAGCTTTGGGTGTCAAAAGGGTACCATGGTTAAGAGTTTGGACGCGTTAGCAAGGCAGCCTCCCTTGAGGGTGTATGCCAACGGGCGGCTCTGCGAGTTCGTGATGAAATCGAACTCGACTCCATGGTTTGGGTGGATTTCAACTCGGATGAACCCTTATTGCCATGAGCGTTTTTGGGTTGATAGAGCTTAAATCCCCCGGGGCTAAGACGCATGTAGAACACATACGTTTTTTTCAGAAAAATCGAAGGAAGTTGACTGTGAGAAGAGAAAATAAGCCACCGGACTGATTTTAGGACTGCCGTGACACGGAAAAAATTCCCGTACCACGGTACTGTGCACCGTCAAACGGTGCACTGTACCGTGACACGGCAGATTTTGCCGTGGCACGGCAGTAAGAAGATCTGACTGGTGCCCTGTTTTCCTTCGTGCGCAACCAAGTTATTCAATTTTTCCTACGGGACAGACCTAAATGCGACGTTAAAACGTCTATGCACATGCAAAAATGCCAAATTAATCACAGGAATATTTTTTTCAAGAATCTTTCAAGTCTCATCCACTCATCTTAATTAAATACCGATCACTCAAATCGATAAATAACTAAGAATCCTCCCCAGTGGAGTCGCCAAATTGTAGGCGTCGTTCGAAGTGCGTCTACGTTAAAGCATGTGGTGAATATACTTGGCACTCATAGGAAGTAGGAATTGACATAATACGATTAGGGACAAATAAAGTAGGGAGCCGCCAACAAGTTTTTAAGGAACTTGTAAACCGTTCACGGATCATAAAAGGCAACCACGAATAAGGGACAACGAAGGCAACAACGATTGACCCGTGAAGGTTACACCCCATTCATAATCCATGAGATTACTAACTCCATATGGTTCGGAACCACGAAAGGAGGATCGGGATGATGGTACGAAGTGAGTCATGGAGTCACATTCGCCCGTATTGGCCTCTACTCGATTCTTATAACGAAAAATGATTCCTGCCATCTCAAAGGCATACAAACAAAATATTCAATTTGCTCCAAACTATTATAAAGCTAAATTGGTTGAATATTAATGCAACATATAATTCTAAAATATTAGTGATAACTTTAATTAAATAACAAGATTGAAAAGGAACCTAAACCGGTTGTCCAAATTATCTTATTAGGCGTGATTTTCAATTACATATTCCCTTTAAACATGCAATATGGTGATCATAAAATAATAATAGAATAACATCAATATTGGAAGCAATTTAACAATAATTCCAACAATATAAAATCGTTAGAAAAATAATAGAAATAAAAGGAACATAATTCTTACTTTGATTCTGTTTGTTTGCAACTACAAAATAATAAACGAGTTAGTAACTTCAAGATAATAATAATAATAGGATAATAATTAAATTAAATTAAATTAAGTAGAGTTGATTTGGGGCCAAACCCTCAAACAGTTCTACCTTTCACGCCTTGGCTTAAGGACGGAACCACGAGTAAAGTACGGACTCCTTGGAGTGCTTGAAGAAGGAATTTTGAAAGAAAAAAGGGTAGGCTAGTGTTTAGGCTAGAGCATAGAAGAGAGAAAAAACTAGAGAATTAATTGATGCCCCGTACATCAGAAATGAGGGGGTATTTATAGAAAAAATGTGCTGAGGGAACACACGGAACCATAAATTGATAAAAACCCTAAAAAAGTATCCCGCGACACGGCAAACTGTACTTGACACGTGAAATCCCACCGTCAGACGGGAAAAATTCCCGTGACACGGTGCAAATTTTGTGTGACGCGGGAAATATTTAGTAAACGGGGGAGAAAACGCCTTAAAGGTTTACGCGGAAAGGACACGGAAATTCCCGTGTCACAGCAGGTTTCCCGTGTCACGGGAAATATAACCGTCAGACGGGAAATTTTCCCGTGACACGGTGGACTGCTGCCGTGGCGCGGAAATTTTCAGTCCTCTTTTCCGTCTAAATTCATTTTTAACCCTAATTTCGTTCAGCATTTTAAGTGCCGATTGATAATTTCGGGCCTTTTTCTGATTTTTTGTTATTTGGGCTAAAATAAGAAAATAAATAAATAAAATAAATAAAAGGTTTGGGCCAAAAATAAATAATAAAATAATAAAATAAAAAAAAGGTTTAGGTTAAAATTAAATAATAAGCTTGGGATGAAATTAAAACTATACTTTTACCAAACATCAAGACTAATCCATGGACTATTAAAAAATACGAATTTAATCAAATACGATTTTTAAAGCACTCTCGGGATTAAATACTGAACCCGACCAATAGTGGCGGTGAAAGGTTGTTCATCATCGGGTTTGGTTTTGGGGAGACATACACCTTAAGTCTCAAACTTTATCCTATAAAATAAAAGTATTGATTAATTTGGATTTTATACAATTAATACGTAATAGAATCTTTAAAATTGTACGTAGTGCATAAAATTCTTAAGTTCATTTATTCTAAACAATTAAAGAAAGAAAGAAATAGTTTTAAATTTAACACTTTTATATTTATATATCAAACTAGTTTTTGGGTCTATATTACGTGTCGAGTTATTAATTGTGATGCATAATATTCGTGATTTAATCTCACTTTTAATAATTTTTGGTCTTTATTTTGTTTTGCAATAATTTAATTAATATGGATAAATAATTAATCTTTCAAAAATTAACCTTGAGATTTAGATCGAATATGTTCAACTCTTGTATAAATCGTATATCTATAGATTTGAAATACATGCTTATATGGAATAATAACTAACAACAAAATTTTGGAGAGTGACATATGGTGTTTGGAAAGCTTTTTAATATACGTTATAGATGATTAGAGGCACTTTAGACATTTTATGCAGGTGCCAATTTTTTCACCCCTTGACTAATTAAATAAAGATAGATTTTAAATATTAATCATACAAAATTAATACAAAAAGAGTGTAAAAAAAAAATTCATTTTATTTACTTTGTATATTCAACCTTAATCCTTATCTCTCATATGTAATGCCTCGTAATGAATTGGTAATTAGCTAACACGTGTTCTACTTTCTTTATCAATTACACCAGTACATGCCTTCACCGACCAAAAAAATGCTTAATTAGCAAATAAAACATCACCAAAATTTTCACAATTCTTAATATAAAACAATAAAAAAATTCAATGCCTAAAAGGGTGGTGGTGACGAAGAGAGAAATGATAAGTTAGAACACAAAACAAAAGGAAAAAAAAAACACAATCAACAAAATCAAAATTCAAATCCAAATAATAATTATGAATAATTAATTTGCAAAAAGAAAAAAAAAATCACATATCTCTTTCCCATTTCTCTCTTTTGTCGTGGTTTCTTTTTTGTTTATCTTCCTCCCTCTCACCAAACTCATTTTCAAAAGATAGAATTATTGAGTTTTTATTCCAATTCAGTTTTGGATTTTTGGGTTTCCTTAAATTGATAGTTTTTTTTTTTGGGTAATATGAATTTTACAAAGCTAAGGGTGCTTGGATATTTTCTTTATTTCCATAAGAATTTCTGTTGTGATTTGAGTGAAAATTTTATTAGTCATGTGAGTTTTTGATTATCAAATTGCATAATTTTTTTTGAAAGGTAGTTGGGTTGGCCATAATTTGATAGAAATTTGAGGAAAACAAGGTTTGATTTTGAGGTTTTGTGGTTGTTTGATTAAGCTCAAGTATATTTCTTGGGTTACTTAGTTGTCCATTATACGATGGATCTTATGGTTGGTGGAAAGTTTAAATTGGGGCGTAAGATTGGGAGTGGTTCTTTTGGTGAGCTACATTTGGGTATGTTCTTAATTGAATTTTAGCTTTGTTGAATTTTGTGTGTATGTTTTTTATGTCAATGGTAATTATTTTGTATGCTATTGTTTCTTTGATTAAATTAGGGACCAATATAACGAATGGAGAGGAAGTTGCTGTCAAGTTGGTATGTGTTCTTTAATAACTATATGTTTTTTCATGTAAATTTATATTAGGGTGATATAACTGCTTACTCTTAGGCTTTTTTTTTTATTTTTTTTTTATCAATTTCTTGTTAGAATTATACTGCTTCGTGTTCATATTAGATATAGATAAACTGATAGAACATATGATTAGGAGGCATTAGTCATATATAAGAGTGTTTTTGTTGTTCTAGTTTTACAAAAAGCAGCATTATCTTCTACGAGGGTAAGTCAAATAAGGGCAAGCTTGGCACACGTCTTTTCACTCGTAGAAGAAAGTTATGCCCAGCATGACACACATCTTTCCACTCCCCCATTCTCTATCTCTCTCTTTCTCTCCTTGGACTAACATCTTAACTCATTTTTTTTTAACATCATTTTTTTTTTTTTGATTCTTTATAAGCTCAAAGTCAATGTTTGGTATAAGTTTATCTCCATTTACTTATAAGTAACATTATAAAGAATTTTGCATAGGTGGGCACTAATTTTTTAAATTGGAATTTTTATTTAACTACTGTCTAAATTATTCTCATTTATTTTTAATTTTTTTTGAAACAAATGCTCATTGAATTTGGAAACAATAATCTTATGATTTTGTTTTTTAACTTTATGCATAATACACACTTTGGTTTTTTTTGGTTTTTTGCATCATTCATTTACTCCACTTTGACCATATTAGTGATTTATACGACAATTTTTTTTTTAAAAAAAAGTTCTGGTGGCATTTTATTAGATTTTACATATAGTTTAAAAATATCATTCTTTTATAATTTTCACTTACTTGATTGAGTTGATAAGTGACTTTATTGTGATTATGAATTTTAGGAATCTATAAAAACAAAGCATCCACAACTTCAATATGAGTCAAAATTGTACATGCTTCTTCAAGGAGGGAGTAAGTTCTTTTTGTGTTTATCTAGTTTATTATTTCATATGTTAAATCACTAGTCTCAAGTATCTTATCTTATGTGTATCTGATTAATACATTAATTTATTTTATTAAATGAAGCTGGTGTTCCTCATTTAAAGTGGTATGGGGTTGAGGGTGACTACAATGTCATGGTGATTGACCTTCTTGGGCCTAGCCTTGAAGATCTCTTTAATTACTGCACTCGGAAGTTCTCTTTGAAAACAGTTTTGATGCTTGCAGATCAACTAGTATGTGCATGCCTTATGACTATAAATTAGCTTGATGTTATTGTTCCCAACATTATGTTCTTATTTTCTGTCGTGTAAGGATCTTGTCCATTTTTTTTTTGTAGATTAGCAGAGTCGAATTTATGCATTCTAGAGGCTTTCTTCACCGTGATATAAAACCTGACAACTTTTTAATGGGCTTGGGACGCAAAGCAAACCAGGTGCCTATATATATTTCCATGTATTTTAATAATTCTTTATCAATATCTAAATTTTATAATTCGATACCTCCTAATTTTATCAAAAGATATCTGTAAGTATTTTTGACATTTTTTATGATGATGAGTCTTTTACTTGCTTTTTATGTTATACTTGTTTTCACAAGTTGTTGGTGCCTTCATCGTAAGAAATTGTGTGTGTATGTGTAAGTTAGTTAATAGTTGTATGATTTATATTACACACTTTGGTTTTTTGCATTATTCATTTACTCCACTTTGACCATTTTAGTGATTTATATTACACAATAGCAGGCTATTAGTTAACTGTTGTGTATATTCTTTGTCATATATATGCTATTCTTGTACAATATCTAGAGTTAAAAAGACGATCAGAGGAAGAAGTGAAACTGATTATTTCAATTTCAAGAAATTAAGTTAGAGGGGATATAAAAGAAATAATTTTAAGGAAATTTTGAGTTTTGCTACCACCAAAACTCCATGTTTTGACTTTTGTCACCTATATAAAGTTTTATTTTATTTTGCTACCTTTAAAAATTAGAAAAATATAGTTTTTGCTACCACTTAACGAAATTCGTTAGAGTTCCGTTAGGGTGGGCCCATTTTTCATTAAATAATGATTTTATTTATTAAAAAGAAAAAGAAAAGACTTTTTAAAAAATTAAAAAAAAATCCCAGCCATTGCATCACACTGTTAGCCACCCCTCCCCACTCCCCGCGCCGGCGGCCCACCCATCCCCTTTCCTACTCTCGTCCGTCCTTAAAACCAACCCTTTAAACCACCACAACCGCCTACTATACGCCGTACCCACAACCACCACTTCATCGCCCCGTTCAGGCCACCTTTTTCCACCGTTGTGCTGCCCGTGTAGACCAATAATGAAATAGAGGAACAAGTGGAGATAAAAAAGAGAAGATAAAGAAATACCCATACTCCAACGACCACCGTCAACCAAGCAAATATTGATAAAATGAGATCCAAAACCGAGACTATGAAGGTTGAATTTGGTTTTGTTTGTTTTAGATCTGGATTCGGGGGCCAAATTCGACCACTATAGCCTCGGTCTTGGATTTTTGTTAAACTTTGTACTTCAATGGTGGTGGCAATGGCACAGAGGTGAAGAGAGAGTGTGTGAAGAAGCATGATGTTGTAGCTTCTTTTGGTGGGTGTTGCAGCAGCAACAGCAGCATATAACAGCGTAGAGTTGGGAATTTTGTGGGATTAATTGAAGCAAAGGCTTTAGCTTTATGAAGATGAATTTGGGGTTTTAATGGCATCACCAAATGAAGTTGTAAGTGGGTCGCAACCATTGTTGGGGAGTTAAAGAAGAGAGAGAAAATTGGGTTGAGGGTATGAATAGGGTTTCGACCACCTTAGGGGCAACGTGGGTGGGGGAAATGGAGGGGGTTGGGTGGCCAACGCCGGGAATCGTTTGGGCACCAAAAGCCAGCACGGAGAGTGGGGAGGGGTGGCTGGAAGTTGGTTGGGCCCCGTTAACGGAAATAGTGTCCAATTCTGTTAAGTGGTAGCAAACCTATATTTTTTTGCTTTTAGGTGGTAGTAAAATAGAATAAAATTTTAGATAGGTAGCAAAAGTCAAAGTGGTGTATTTTAGTGGTAGCAAAAGTCAAATTTTCCTAATTTTAATACGAAGTATAAATATTTTATGAGAATTAGAAGAAAAAAAATAAAGGGCAGTGTGACATGTGGAATTATTGGTTTGAATCCTAAATTATATATACTAAGTGTAGATATTTATGAAAGATGTTATGAAGAGAATTGAAGATAAAGTCTCTACATAAAAAGACAATGATATCAATAATTTATTTATATGTAGAGTTTTTTGAGATGCAATGATGCGTAGGCTCATACTAAACAACAATATACTTGTAGAGACTGTCAGAAATCCACCATTCAAAAGGTCTATCAAGGATTGAATAATTACGGAATTATACTTATTCGGTTTATATAAGAAAGGATAACAATCTTGTTTTAATAGTCCCATGGAATTGCTAAACAAAGAATGTAAGAGCTTCTTTAAGATAAAGTGGAATGATAAATTGATAATTAAAATATTTGATTCTCTACATGGAAGACAAGTATGAGGCAAATTAAGGAAGGTGGAGGGATGGGTAAGGGGATAACCGGAGAAGAGTAACTCTAACTCGATGATAATCTTAGAGTTGTGGAGCTTCATGTTGCTCATCCACCTTTATCATCTCAGAAGACTTTTAGAATTCAATCTTATTAACAACCACTTTTATCATCTTTGTAATTTACATTAAAGGTAAAAGGTAAAAGGTTATTTTCTTATTAATAATTTATTTATTTTTAGAGACATAAGTACATGCTTCTATTACTCAAATGAAATCAACATTACAATAACAACTATTTAATTGCTAAAGTTTGGGTCATTATTAATTAGGGAATAAGTTACATAATCTTTTTTAAAATAAATAATAACACTACACTTTATAACAAAAAAACCAAAAAAAAAAGGGGAAATTCTCAATGGTACTCACCAGTTTTTTATTTTTCTCAACGGTGAATAGCAGAAAATTTAATTATTTTTAGTGCTCATGTAATATTGTAATATTAGTTAATATCAGCAATAGCATTAATGATATATTTTAGTTAAAATAGTTAACTAAGGTTAGTTTTATTATTATTTTTTAAAAATTAAACAATTTAAAAATAATTACAAAGAAACCCCAGCAAAAAAAAACCACCACCCACATTTTCCCTTGCCACCCCCTACCCTCCATCCCCGATCTCCTGCTCCCGGCCGGCGCCGACAACTTTCGCCCAGACTCTCTCCGTCGACGCGCTGTGCTGAACCCCCCTCCCCTTCGCCGCGATTCCCTAAACAACCCAATCCCCAGTCGCATCTCCCTTCTCCCTGCTAAATCTAAACTAATACTCTTCACTCTTTCTCTCTCTCTCTTACTTTCTCTGAAACCAAAAATGGGAGTAGAAAGTTCATCCTCTATCTCCTTCTTCAAATTCCAGCGGAAATGCCTTCTAATTTCTTCATTTAAATATTTGGAAAGGAGAGAGAAAGTTAGGGTTATGGCTAGATAAAGTGAAGAAGTGGGAGCTCCGATTGGAGTTTCAGGGAAGGGAGATGCGATACTTCGATTGGGGGATGGTGGGTTAAGTGCGGCGCCGGGGGAGGGGGTGGGCGCGCCGGCGTCGCCGGGGGAAAGAGAGGGTTGCGTGGAGGGCGGGGGTGGCTGGGCGCCTGGGCTGGTGGAATGAGTTGGTTTTTCTTTCTTTAATTATTTTTTAATTATTTAATTTTTAAAAAATAATAATAAAACTAACCTTAATAAATTTATCATTAATGTTATTGCTGATAGTAACTAATATTACATGAGTACCAAAGATAATTAAAAATTTTGCTGTTTATCGTTGAGAAAAATAAAAAACTTGTGAGTACCATTGAGAATTTCAAAAAAAAAAAAAAAAAAAAATTACCATAGGGTTGGGAATGAACTAGTGATACATTGCAGATTATGGACCCTTCTCATTGTCTAGCTCCTCTTGATCTAATGTGTGGCACACAATATTTTTTTTTTTTTATAATGGTCAGAGCATTAGGTATTTTGTGACTCATGCGAGTAATACAAGAGGACATGTGAGGGTTACTTGACAACCTACATAGCAATGGGAGCCAAGGTTTTAGAAGCACAATTTATTGTCAATGGATTATGACTTAAAGTGGAACATGGATTTTGATGGGTTGCCGTTAAAAGTGATTATGGAAAGTTTTATGAACTTAACTGAGGGTTAGAATGAGCAGTTTATGCATTATAATATCTTTCATGCATGTTTGAAAGATAATCTATGGTATCAAAGGATGGTTATTCTTACTTATGTTGCATAATGACTTTAATTTATTTTAGGATTTTTTTCTTTCAAAACCAATCTAAAGAGAGGTTTTTGTTTATTCAAAATCACCCTTAACCAACAAGTTTTAAAAAATCCACTTATAACTCAATGAATTCATTTCCATAAAAACCCTTATATTGATATTTTATGATTAACCACTAATATAATAACATTATAATATTAAGCCCATCATTTTGAAACTAATCTAGCTTGATTAATAAAACAGTTATATAATCCCCTAACCCTCCATCCATCAATTTCCGAAACCCCATTTCCTTTATTTTTCTCTCATTAATCACCATCACTTTACCACAACTAAAACCTCAAATGAAAATAATACATCAACTTCTTTTACTTCATATATTATATATATGATCTATTACTTTATTCACTTTTTTCATACCTCCAATCATTTTTTTCATACATTCTTAGAAACAAGAGCTTACTATATGTCAAACTTGTGAAAATAGAGAGAATACTGCATTTTTAAACTTTATTTTCTCTAGAAAATACAAAATGTCTTATTCAATAATATAGTTTTGTCTCTCCATAATGTCATTATGCTTTCAAAATGCGTCATAAATAGATCTTATTTTAAAATACTTTCACAATGAATATGATAATAGATCAACCAAACTTCTTTGAATTCTATGTAGAAACTTATACCCCTAAGTATGTTGGATTACTTATTTGCCCTAATTAATATTAATTTCCTTTTTTTTAATTCTCAAGAATAGTGTGCAGACATTAGGGGTGATCACAGATTAGATTATGATCCGAAATTCAATTTCGGATCGAATATCCATATCCGGAAACTACTATATTTGATATCCGTATCCGATCCAAAAACTTCTGGATCCAAAATTTTTAGATTGGATACCTCGGATATCCAATATCCGACTCTTTTAATAATTTTTTTAAAAAGAAATTTTAATAATTTTGTTCAAATTCTATTCTAATGGCAAATTTTAACTTTTTAATAATAAATTGATACATACGAAGTACTGAACTTAAGTATAAGCAAATTAATTCTACAACAATTCTAAAAAAAAAAAAAAAATTAATTTATTGTTAACTACTTGAACGTGAAGAATATCAAATAGATTAAATTTTACACAAACCAATTGCAAAACAAAAAATTTACACAAACCTTCAAACTAATTGTCACAAATTACGAAATACAAAACAGAGAAATTATAAGTATAATAGATTTTAGGGTTAGCTGCTTTGGGTATTTAGGAGTATATGAATGAAAGAAATTAAAAAAATAAGTATAATAAAGTAGAGTTGGTTTCTAAAAAAAAAAAAAAAGAAGTAAAGTCTCTTCACCTCCTGACCACCGTAATAAACTACAGTGTGTTTTTTTTTTCGGATATACAATATCTGAATTGTAACACCCCCAATTTACTAATTAATAATAAATAAAAGGATAATTTGCTAATTACTATCGCACGTTAATACTAAATTACTACAGCAAATTTAAAAAGTTGTGAATTACTACCGCAAAAAAATTTAAGATGTTGGGATTACTACCAAACCCCCATTAAACCCAACTATGACGTCATTATATCCCTTTAACCCATGTTTGACCATGGTTAAGGGCTTTAACCAGCCCCCCCAAAAAAGAAAATGGGTTAGGGATATAATGACGTCACGGTTAAGGGCTTTAACCCATGTTTGACCATGGTTAAGAGCTTTAACCATGGGTTAAAGTGATATAATGACGTCATAGTTGGTTTAATGGGGGTTTGGTAGTAATCGCAACATCTTAAAATTTTTTGCGGTAGTAATTCACAACTTTTTTAATTTGCAGTAGTAATTTACAAAGTGGTATTAATTTGCGGTAGTAATTGACAAATTTTCCTAAATAAAAATTAAAGGAAAAATAAACAACCTTTATATATAATAGCGGAAGCATACACCTAAATCGGAGGTATTACCGCGACACTCGACAACTTGTCAAGTGTTAAGGATTACAAAATCCCAACTGTACAACTTAATAAATCTAGGTGAGCTATTTATACAGTTTTACAAACTTGTTATAATAATTTAATCGAACCACTTGAGCTCCTTTAACTACGATCACTTGCATGCTTAGCCTGCTTAGAAAATCTTGACTGTTACCATTAAGGACAAATTCCAAAATAGATCAACCAGGGCCACCATATATAAGAAAAAGACATGACCACAAACATAAATAGCACAACAAAACAACACACGCGTCAGTAAAAAAGCTGAGTAATCACTAGGTATCGGAATACAAAGAAAAATAGAATAATTAATATTACTAGCTCATCAATTAATCATTGTAGTTCAATACTACATTACACATTGTACTCTAAAAATAACATTTTCCTTACTCAACCTTGAATATTAATACAATCCTTTACTCAATTAACTCATAACCAATAAGTGTGCCATGCTCTTTGTTCTATACCTAGCCTTGGACATGAGTAATTCGAATAAATAAACCAACAAGAATAAAAACTTGAATACTCCCAATAACCAGAAAAACACCTTGAAGCAGACCACATCATATGAGCCAAATCCTATTGTAGGGGACCATAGAAAAATATAAATAAAGATTGTAGCTCATTCTTAACTCATGATTATCATCTCCTTACCAACATGCCAAAGATTAAGGTCTACAACACCGAGCTTCAAACCAAGAACAAAATAATAATGTTTATCCTTTTGATCTCATACTTTGATCAACTAATCATTCACAAATTAATAGATAGTATCTCAGCAATGGCACAAATACCTAAATAATATAACAATTCGAACTCTTTTCAATCATAGTATATCTCAACTCTTATAGGACAATAAAACTAATACCCAAATATAATTAAATCTCAACCCAAAAATTATACTCTACATTGATAACCCTAAAACCTCAAAAACAACACTTCCTATCGCAACAACATGAAAAACCTAGATATAATTGTATAATTAATTATATACAACAAAAATAATATGATATTCAAATCAAATCAATTCATACAATATCATAATAATTACTCAAATATACAAAGAGTACCAATAATAAATCATATCACACATGATAATACAAAATATATTACAAACATCTCCAAAATAAGATTCGTGTGATTACATATAATAAACAATACAATCAAATTATAATCAAACAACTCTAAATGATTGATAGTGTGATTATTACCTTCGTAAGAAACTATAAATAGCACAAAATTTCATCAACAAGCAATGTGATTCCATCGCTCGATTATGGATTTGGGGAGCAATTAAAGAAAACTCGCACAACCCTTAAAATAGGAAACTACAAGACTGACATGAGCACCACCAAATATATATTCACGTAAAAAGCTAAGGTTGCATCTTTATATATTTATTTATACACAAACTTTAGGTACAAAGTATAATTTTACTTTTAGGGTTAGTTTGTATAGACTCATAAAATAAAATAGAGTACAATCTTATTTAAATTAAAATAGGGTTTTAAAACTTTCCGAACTCTAAAATAAAAATATGAGAATAGGAAAGTTATACAATAAATAAAAATAAACTAATTTTTTATAAACTATATTATATAAAATTATAAAAATATTCTGGTATTACAATCTACCATCCTTAAAACAAGTTTTGTCCCATAACTTAAAATAGAAAAATTTAGGGTATTACAATCTACCCTCCTTAAAGCAAGTTTCGTCCCCGAAACTTAAAGTACAAAAATAAATTACTTGAATCTTTATAAAATATATATAGAGTACTAAAATATAGGGGTATTACATGAATTTTTTTTGGATATCTGTAATTCAATATTTCGATATCCCATCTGATATTCGAATTATCCGGATCGGATATTTGATTCGAAATTCGAATCGGATATCCATAATTTTCAGATAAGATGCGAATCATATCATCGGATTTTCGGATCTTCAAATAGTTTTGCTTAACCCTAACGGACATTTTGACCCCTAAAAATATTTATTTACATATTTTCCCTTATTAATGTTGCCAACTACTAAATTTGTGACACAAAGTCAGATTGAAAAAGCTCCCTTGACATGGCGAGCTATGGCGTGTGCATTGCGTGCGTTAGTTGCTCTAGTAAATAATTCTTCCTCTGTTCGATTAATATAACAACAATGATGAAATTACACATTCCAAAACATATTTTATAAGTTAAATATCTATAATTATTTAAGAGAAAAAAGTTGATATTGTGAAGGTATTTTTTAGGCGAATCTAACAAAACTTCACATGTAGAGATGGCAATGGGTCAAATCTAGACTAGGTTCAAAGATCCAGATCCGACCCGGATCTATCGGGTCTGAAAAATAGAGATCCATATCCATGTCGGACGGGGTCCACCGGATTCGGGTCCAAAACGGATCCTAACACATTTTGCCTAATATTTTGCTACAAACATAATGTTCACATTAAAAAAAAAATTCATCTTTAGCTTCTATCGAGGATGATTAATTAAATTCAATATTTTAATATATGAAGTAATTGTACAAGTGATCCAAAATAGCTAAGAATGTCAAGTATAATTTACATTCGTAGAAAACAAAACAAAACTCAAGAATAATGCAGAATTCAGTTACCATACGTTAAAAAAATAAATAAAAAAAACCAGGAAAGCAAAAGCCAAGTCCTACCCAGCCAAACAAAAAATCACTTATATATGAATTTACATAATTACATACTCCATATACATAGGGGTTAGAGGTTCAGTCGCGCTCGATGGCCTTGAAAATGAAAGTTTTCTCGAGCTCTAGTAGCTCCTCGGTAGTTCGGTCGCCGATTTGAATGGAGGTTCACTTGCCGACTTGAATGGAGGATCCTTGCTGCCATGAATTAGGGGTAGAGAGAGAAATTTAGGGTTTAGTTTACGAGAGAGAGGGAGAATTTGAGAAATACGGAGTGTCTTTGAGAGTAGTTTGGGTTGTGTGTTGGGCCTTAAATTATAAACGGCGTGTTGGGCCTTAAATTATAAACGGATCCACGGATCCGGGTATATGGTTAGACCCAGATTTAAATCCGTTTTTTCAAAGGACTCGGATCTATCGAGTCCAAATTTTAAAGACCCATATCCGTGAAAATGGACGTGGATCCACGGATCCGGGTCAGGTCCAGATTTATTGCCATCCCTACTCACATGAGTACATGAATGTATTTTACTTAGCATATGAATAATAATATGTGGTCAAGAATGACGGAAGTATAATTTTGCGAGATTGAAACTTTCTTTCATATATTTGTTAAAAGTCTAACATAAACAAAAATCTAATAGCATGCGAAGTATATTCTAAATATCCAAATTTTATTTACATGCCTTCATATGTGGCCTGCTTATTTTTTCATTTTACGAGAAATGACACTTGGCAAAAATTTGATCCCTAAGTGTCGTTTTCTTGTGTGGTCAGCTATAAAACTCAACTTTATAATTGTTGATAATATAATTTGTGGACATACTTAATCATTTTCAACAGCCCACAAGTATATATAATTTGTATAGCCTTGTATACTATTTCACCATTTATAATTAATTATAAAGTTGTAATGTTTATTAGGTTATATATGCCTTGGTTATTGGAGCATTCTGATTGTTAAAGATGCAATTGTTCGTTATAACTTAATTTTTTTTGTGTACTGTAGGTGTACATCATTGACTATGGCCTTGCTAAGAAGTACAAAGATCTCCAAACTCATAAGCACATACCTTACCGGTATGACATGACATATTTCTTTTGCTATATGTGTGCTCAATCAACTTATAAAAAAAAATTCACCGGTTTTGTTATGTAATACATTTTTCTATAGGTGATTATTGTTGTGTCATAATCCCTCAACTCTATCTTTATTTACGTAACACATTTTCCTTTTAATGTCGTCCCTATATACTCGATATGATATTCTATATTTTCATAAATGACATGAGCCCATTATCGATATATAATAATGGAAACAAAACTCACTACCCACTGATTACAATAAACCTAAACCCATGCCACATGCCTCTACTAACTACTCTATTTGATTTTAAATGTTATTCTCACTAGACAGTATCTACAACTTAAGAGAATGTTCTAAATTTTTCCAATACTTTAGAAAAAAAATGTTTAAGTGGGGTCTTTTTTACTCCTCTCAATAATACTATTTAAAATAGCAAACTTTTATAATTTATTTATTAACATGGAAGGGGAAGAATCGACAAAGAATGACGAACATAAAACCGCAGTGCTGTGTAGCTACCTGTCACGCGCTGACTAATTCCCTTAGTCTTTTGCACGCGGCCTACTAGAGTCACCACCCGTTAGACTACTAGTCAAGGCTCCCATTTGCTTTAGCAAAGATAAATATTGATGTTGTTAGTTAAGTGTGGTTTGCTTTGAAAGCACAAGTGAGAATATATGAGAAAGCTTTAAGGAAGAAGGCTTTTTATAAATGCTTGAGAGAATACAAGTGTTTGTACATGAGTAAGAATGGGTGGGAGGTTTCCTATTTATAGGCACCATCCCTTTCTAGAGTGTTCTAACCTAGATGCTTCCTAACCTCCTCAAATGGAGGGTTCTAGAGAACTCTATACACTTTCTGATTACATAGGCTTATGTACAATATTCTAGAACCATCTACAAAGTTCTAGCATCTCAAGTATGTACAAGTTGTCCCTAGAGGCTTCTAGAGACCTCCGGATGCACCACGAACCTCTTCGTGCATTCTGGAAAGTTGTGGGCCCCATCTTCAAATTCTGGCTGCACCATCATCTTTATTGGGCCCAAAAACGATGGGCCACCAAGTTTGGGCTCATTTAGAGTCCATTAAGCCCGGCCCATGGCCCATTATTGTGTTACTGTCATGGGCGTGTTCACTAGGGTAAATGGCAGGGTGCTAAATAAAGCTCTATAGGGGGAAGGGTGTTCTGGCCTTGCTAGCCATGCACCGAGGGCATTCCCCCTGGCCACGATTATAACTTGCTGCCTTGAGGCCCTAGTGAGGGGTGGGAATATGTGAGTCGTGACATGCTCCCCCACCCAAGTCTTGACGTCCCCGTCAAGGCCGCCCTTCGAACTTAGCTATCTTGTCTTGGAATTGCCATAGGTCCCCTTCTTTTTCCCACGTTGCTTCACTATCCGAGAGACCCTTCCAACGAACAAGATACTCTTTGTAGCTTGGAACCCCTCTCTTCCTTATGAGCCTCTTGGCCTCAATTGTCTCGATGTCCCTTTCGAAGGATACCACCACAGCCGTGGGCGCCCTTTGTGATTCGCCCCTTATTGGATCTTCATGGTCAGCTTGGTAGGGCTTGAGCATGCTCACGTGGAACACCGGATGAATCTTCAACCTTGGGGGTAACTCAAGCTTGTATGATGTTTTCCCAACCTTCCTTAGTACGGGGAATGGTCCCTCATACTTTCGCACAAGACCCTTGTGCACCTGTCGGAAGACCTTGAATTGTTGGGGTAGCAGCTTTACCATCACCAAGTCTCCTACTTGGAACTCCATTGGGCGCCTATGCTTGTCAGCCCACTTCTTCATCTTCTTGGCCGCCTTGTCCAGGTAAACCTTGGATATATCGAGTTGTTCGTGCCACCCTCGTGCAAGCTTGTAAGCAGCTGGGCTGCTCCCTGTGTACCCCGAGGCGATCCCTTGTGGAGTCAAGGGTTGCTGTCCCATGACTATTTCGAAGGCACTTTTGCCCGTAGCCTCGGATCTTTGTAGGTTGAAGGAGAATTGGGCAACATCCATGTACTTAGCCCAATCTCGCTGGTTGGCACTCACATAGTGCCTGAGATATAGCTCCAGCAAGGCATTCACCCTTTCGGTTTGCCCATCCGTCTGGGGGTGAAAGCTTGTTGAGAAGTGGAGTCCGGACCCAAGCATCTTGAACAATTCTGTCCAGCTGTGAACCTTGGGTCTCGATCACTGATGATACTCCGAGGCAAGCCCCAATATTTCACCACGTTCTTGAAGAATAGATGGGCTGCTTGCTCGGCTGTGCAATCCCTTGGTGCCGGTATGAACGTGCCATATTTGGAAAAGCGATCGACCACCACCATGATCGAGCCATACCCATCTGACTTGGGTAGGGCTGAAATGAAATCCATTGATACGCTCTCCCATGGCCCTTCAGGTATAGGAAGTGGCTCAAGTAACCCAGCCGGCACGCGTTGTTCGACCTTGTCTTGTTGGCACACAAGACAAGTCTTTACATAGGCCTCCACATCTTGCCCCATGTGTGGCCAATAGTAATTCACCTCCAAGAGTGCTAATGTGCGTAGGACGCCGGGATGACCAGCCCACTTAGAGTCGTGGCACTCTTTCATGATATCTCGCCTAAGATTATCCCACTTAGGCACGAATAGTCGCCGCCCCGCAGTATAGAGGATCCCATTCTCTACCCAAAACCTTCTGGTTTTGCCTTCCTTGGCTAGGTTCATGATCCCCTTAGCCATAGGATCTTGAGTAAGACCATCCTTGATTCTATCCAAGATGGTGCTCGTGGCGCGACTAATAGTTGCAAGGGTAGCCTTGCGGCTTAGAGCATCGACGACAAAGTTTACTTTGCCTGGCTTATACACCATGGCATAGTCAAATTCGGCCAAGAAGTCTTGCCAGCGAGCTTGCTTGGGGCTTAATTTCTTCTGATTCTGAAAATAGCTTGTTGCAACGTTGTCGGTGTAGATGGTGAACCAACTCCCAAGCAAGTAGTGCCTCCATATCCGCAAGCAATGAATTATGGCCGTCATCTCCTTGTCATGGACAGGATATCTCCTCTCCGTATCGTTTAGCTTGCGAGACTCGTAGGCAATGGGATGCCCTTCTTGCATAAGGACTCCACCTATGGCAAAATCGGAGGCATCCGTATGCAGCTCGAATGGCTTTGAGTAATCAGGCAAGGCAAGGACGGGTTCTTCCGTGACTTCCTTCTTCAACCCATTGAATGCCCTTTGACACTTCTCGTCCCAACACCACTGGGTCTTCTTCTTGAGCAAATCGGTCAAAGGTGCTGCCTTGGCCGAGTAGCTTCGAATGAACCGCCGATAGTAGTTGGCAAGGCCAAGGAAGGACCGTAGCTCGGACACATTCCTTGGCTCACCCCATTCTTGGATGGAGCGCACCTTGTCATGCTCCATCATAATCTTGCCAGCCTTGATATGGTGCCCTAAGAAAGACACCTCATCTTGGGCAAACGAGCATTTCTCCTTTTTGACATATAACTCGTTCTCCCGTAGAACCTTGAACACTTGAGCCAGATGCTGCACATGCTCCTGCAAAGTGTTACTATACACCACAATGTCGTCTAGATAGACGACCACAAGCTTATCCAAGAAAGGCTGGAAGATCTTATTCATCAAAGTGCAAAAGGTGTCGGGGCGTTGGTAAGGCCGAAAGGCATTACCAAGAACTCAAAGGATCCATAGCGAGTTACGCATGCCGTTTTCTGCTCATCCCCTTCGACGATGCGTACTTGCCAGTACCCCGACCTCAGATCAAGTTTAGAAAAGTACCTGGCGTTTCCCAATCGATCAAACAAATCTGCCACAAGGGGAATGGGGTATTTGTTCTTCACGGTGATCTTGTTCAACGCCCGGTAGTCGATGCACATGCGCAGGCTTCCATCATGTTTGCGCTGGAACAAAACAGGTGCCCTGTATGGTGCCTTAGATGGCTGAATAAAACCAGTATCGAGCAATTCCTTCAACTGCTTCCGTAGCTCCTCAAGCTCCGGCGGGGCCATCCTGTAAGGTGCCATGGCTGGAGGCCTTGCCCCAGGCTCCAGCTCGATCTTATGATCTACTTCCCTTGTAGGGGGAAGCCTTTTGGGTAGCTCGGGAGGCATGACATCTTCAAACTCCTTGAGAATCCTGGAAACTTCCACTGGGATCTCCTGTTGCACCTTGGTTTTTTCCTCAACCATTGTTGCCAAAAAGGTTGCCTGCTTCCTCTTGATGCCCTTGTCGAGTTGTATTGCGGACAACATCTTGGCTTCGGCTTCCTCTCGAGCAACGGGGACTGACCATGCTCCTTGTCCCCTCTTGATGGTCAGCGAGCCATCTTCTTCGAACGTGAAAGGCCTTACTGAGTCCATAAACTCCAATCCTAGCACCAGGTTGAAATCATCCATGTCGACGACTGTGAAATCTACTGCCCCCTTCCATTCACTCAACTGAAGTGGGACTCCACGAGCCACACCGTGGATGGGTGCTGGAATAGTGTTCACCGTTTTCAAAGAACCCCTCTTCTTGGTGAACTTGAGACCTAACCTTGTGGCTTCTTTGAGCGTCACAAAGTTGTGGGTAGCACTAGTGTCGACTAATGCTTTTGAGGCCTTTCCCCCAACTATGGCATCAACAAACATAAGATATGGCTTTTTGCCCCGGGGTAGCGTACATACCTTGGCCAGGTCCTTGTCCTCCTTGGGCTCCTCCACCGTGGCCTTCATGCTATTGCACAGGCGCAACGTCCCCATGTGTGCCTCGTCCCCTAACGATTCCCCAGGTGATGTAGCCATAATAGCATTCAACTTCCTCCTTTGTGGGCACTCCCTAGCCCAGTGATCACCCCCGCATAGAAAGCAATCTAAGCGTTTTGACTTCCGGTCTGAGTGGAACTTCTCCTTGTCCTTCCTCTCAAACGATTTGCCACCGTTGTGGCTTCGTTCAGTGGGCTTGGCTCCCCCACCTTTCCCCTTGTTACCGCTACTCTTGTTGCCTCTCTCCTTCTT